CAAGTCCTGTGCAAAAACGCATGATCGCACGGGCCCGTCCGGTGCGTTCCAGCCTGGGTTTTTTGTCGGGGAAAAAAATGAAATCGCCAGCTTAGTGTGCTTTTTCCCCCCTTAAAAAACATTCATTAGAGGAACAAAAATGGAATAAAAACGCTGTTCACAGCAAAAATTTTTCCACACACAGATGCATGCATACATACGTATAGGCATATGCTCAAGGCATTTACATCTGCACATCAGCAGTCACAAATATGACATATAAAATAATCAAAAAAATAATTTGGGACCGCAAAAAAATGATATTGACGAGACCTAGTTGTGGTGCTCGACAAGAATGTATACGACTTTAATGACCGAAACATTCCTGTTTAGCTGTTTAATTACAGTTTGATGCTGTTTTACTAAACTTTGGCAGACAATACCTTCAACTCATACAAATGGATAATGGTCAAGTGAATCAGAGTAGGGCAATACTACTTGAAATTGTATTTAATCAGAAATAATTTCAAAAATTGGGAAGTTCTGTAAAAAATGCTTACAAGAATGAGAATGGAGTGCAGGGAGTCGAGTAATAGAAAATAGAATATATACGAGACTGGTCAGGGAGCTGCAGAGAGCTGGAATTTTGCGAGACTCCTTGATTTCCACTTTCTTCCTCAAAATTGAGGACTGCTGAGGGATTTTGCAGTAGGAGAAAGACTGCAGTAGCGTTTTTGCAGTTTGGTCCCTTTTGTGTCAAATGCAGTTTTAGTATACAGTGATAACTTCTGTTTCGTTCATCCACTGTAAACTGTAAAATTCTGAAACTTTGTAGCTTCTTGCGACCTGGAAATAAATCAGTCTGAATTCGAATCTGAACTACTTATCGGCTGGGACAATACGAGTTTTAAAATCCTGACTTCATGTGCGACTTGCAAAATTTCATTTTTCTAGCTTTCTGCTTCTCGGATCTAAATTATTCAAACTTCTAGGATAATAAATTTTGCGATTTTATATAAGCTGCTCGCCTCCTGGGACACACATAGGTTAAAACCCTCCTCGCATTTTTTTTTCGAGAATTTCTTTTATTGGTTTAAATGAATTTTAGTTGAATTTACTAGCACTTAGTTTCGTTCATTTAATAACTGATTAAAAATCTAGGGTTTTCGTTAAAAATTGGAGAACTGAAATTTGGATAGCCAGCGTTTTGATTAGTATTTTGAAAAAAAATTTTGAAATACGACGTAATTCTCATCATTTCCTTCCTTGTTATAAGAGTTCGTCATTGTTGATTATTGATAGCAGCAGCTTTTGCTTCAGTTAATCCAGTCCACCGTTTCAGCTTCTCTTTTTCTTTTTATAGGTCCAAAAAATTCGAATCTTTTATCGAAACAGTATTAGTAAAAGACTATCATCAGCGGCCCTACACGGATCAGCTTCTCAGGCATCCATTTATTCGTGAACAGCCGCCTGAACGGCAAACACGCATTGCAATCAAGGACCATCAGGACAGGCATCGTAGAATAATCAATAAAAAAGGTACATTTTATTGTAGCTTCATTCGTAGGCGCCTGTTTTACCTTTCTAATTAGAAAGAAGATCCGGTACAGTTGGACACTTGGGAATCCCAGTGGTTTTTATTGCACATGCCAGTCTCTTCGATCCTAGGCCGCTTACTTCCAGTTAGTACCCTTACACCTGTTCGATGTATGTGTGCCAGTGTATTTTTATGCGTTTTGTGCTGTGTAACAGCAGTACAAAACGCAAATTGTCATAGGGTTGTGTGTGTGTGTGTCCGCAACTTTCAACTCGGGAACCACAAGAGCTAGGAAGCTGAAAATTTAGGGTAACGTTGCCCTCCCAAGTGTGACCCCGCAAATTTATATTCAGCTTCCCCGTACCTGCGGGTAACGCGTACGGCTCCGTAAAAGTTTTTCACGAGTAAGTTAATATCTCGGGAACCACGGAGTGTAGGAGGCTGAAATTTTAGGGTAATGACCCTCTGCCCACGCTCAACCTTGCTTATTCAAATTCAGCTTCCCTTACTTGCGGGTAACACGTACGGCCCGTGAAAGTTTTTCACGGGTAAATTAATATCTCAGGAACCACGGAGTCTAGAAGGTTGAAATTTTAGGGCAATGACCCCTTGCCCCCGTTCAACCTTGACCATTCAAATTCAGCGTTCTCGCGCTCTCGGGTACCACCTGCGGCCTCGTGAAAATTTTGGCGGGTAAACTATTAACTCGGGAATCACGGAAAGATATTCATCCTTCAAGATTTCGAATTCAGCTTTCATACGCAGGTGCGTGAAATTTTTAAATAACTCGGGAATCACGGAAAGATATTCATCCTTCAAGTTTTCGAATTCAGCTTTCATACGCTGGTGCGTGAAATTTTTAACTGTTTTTCAATGTTTGATCTATTTTTGCATAGGCGAAAGTAAAAAGCAGTGAAAATCATTAATAATCGTTCGAGAGGCTGAATTGCACAAAACGCATGATCGCACCGGCCAGTCTGGTGCGCGTTGCTATTTATTTTCTTTGATCAAGAGGCCAACATGATTTTGCGGTAAATTATTACAAGAGGCTATTTTCTTTAAGCAGAATTGGGCTCTTGCAATATTTATTACAATAGATATATTGCTCTTGATCTAGCATATATTGTTTTGAAATGGCAAACGATTGACTAGTCATTTTTCTAATTATTTTATTCTTAATGTGCACCACATTTAGATGAAACGGAATACGAATATTCGGGCAGCGACGATGACGATAATCATGGCCAAGGTGGTAAACCCCTGGATCTCGCCGCAGGTACTTTTGTATCTTGAAGCTTTTGGGGATGTTTGATTTCTTAATCCCTGTAAAATAATAGTGCTCGAAAACTGCTCACAACTAACCACAGAAATTTTTCTTGGAAATAGTGAGTTCGAAAATTTATGTACATCCAGGCGCTTGTGAATGTAATACTAATGGCCACGAAAACTTACTGTATAGATATAAAGACAGCAACACCGGAGAAGTAATGGGGAGAAATATAATCTGATATACATATGAAGAAGCTGACCAGTAGCTATAGTATATAT